AGTTTTAATCTTCTTTATTAAACATATGATGTTTGTTTTGTTATTTTGAATATGATGAACATCTCTTCATTAATTCTGTGTTTATTTTAAAGTTTTTGTAAAAAAGAAAAAAACATTTTTGACTCAAAATATTTACATAATAAAATGCCAATTGAATTTCTCATTTAAACAATCTATATTTCAACAGTTGAGATCATGAGTCAGTTGAAGCTAGACCACCATGGAAAACCTGGAAGCACTGGACGACAGTTTCGTCCTATTGTGGCGTGAGCATCCACGATCCCGCCTCGCGAGATTCGAACACAGGACTTATGAGTCTCGTGCGCGAGCTCTTAACCACTAGACCAATGAGCCGTCCGGCATCCAACGGCGTTAATGTCTAACTTCAATCAATCCATGAAATTGAGCGACATATCCACCATTGTCATCAGGGAGTTACTACCTCACAACAGACCTGGTTGAACTCCACTGGTCACTGTATTCTCACTGGAACTCCAGGATATACCTCTTGAAGCCAGTCACTAGTGAGCATGTGTTGATTCATATCAGAGGAGGTTTTGTGGATATTGTAGTAATTTCAATGGTTGAGATCATGAGTCAATTGAAGCTGTTTGTTTCCCCTAAAATGGAATAATAATTACAAGATTTCATCTTTTTTTTTCTTCTTTAAAACAAAATCAATAGTAGAGATTTTATTTTAAATTCAATCATTTATAAACGATAATTATTTATGCATAAAAAAATAGAAACCGATATTTTAATTAATAAGTTTTGACTGGAATTGTCAATCGAATAAAAATGTATACGGAATACTCTTTATTAGTCAAGGTCACTTGTATAAGAATGAGTATAGGCAACTTAAAAGATGATTATATAATTTTAAAGAAAATTTTGAACTATTGGGCAGATATTATAGTTGCTAGGAATGAAATCCAGGACTCATCAGCTGGATGTACCTGAATCTCAGATTTAATGTTCACTCTGGGACTCGAACCCAGTACCATTAGCTTCAAATGTCATCGCGTCATCCTGATAGCCATTTGCTTTTCCAATGGGATGAAGTTTTAAATTCATTTGGTATTGTTTACTTGAATCTTCCCTATGATGTTTAAGACTGTAATTGATCAGTCTCTTATCGGCATATGGGCATGACGTGCGTATTACCTCGATATTGTCTTAAGTCACAAGCATTATAAGCATAGATGGATATCAGGACTCAGTAGCTAAGTGGATAACACGATGGTATTTGAGGCTAATGATACTGGGTTCGAGGCTCAGAGTAAACATCAACACTGAGATGCAGGTAAATCCCTCTGATGAGTCCCAAATATGATGAAACGTATGTCCTGCATTCCGCTGCTAGCCACTATCCATCTTTGCTTAGAATGTTTGTGAATTAAGGCAATATACACAGTATGCACTTATGTCAATAAGTGACTGATCAATTGCAATCTTAAACATAAATAAGAAAATTCATGCAAGCAATACGATGTAAATTTATTGAGCAGATAGTTCGTATCAATTAAGTATTTCGCGACAAAATTAATGAAACCCGTTAAAATATGGTATCATTAGGAATTTAATTAGTTTATTAGGGCTCATTATAACTCCCCAGATACTTACTTTGTAGAAGTATTTTTATATAACCAGATTAATAAAAGTGTAACTTATTCAAGATAAACGGTCAATTTCGGTGAATCCATTTCATAGCTATAAATACTTTTATAGAAAATTCGTCATAGCTAACAAACCAGTTATTTTGAAAAGAGCAAGAACAAACATTCTAGCAGAATAGCATGAATTCATTTTTATTTCGTTGGTTCTCGTCAGCTGCTTACAACCTGTGATATTTAAAATCATAATTAATGGGTTAAAATTACTTACATAAAAGAGTTTGATTGGAAGTTATGTTAAAGACATATTCATATAGTATAACAAGGGTGTAAATAAATTTAATAGACTGAATATTGTAAATATATACATATATATATACAGTTATTAATAAGACTGTTAAGCAGTTACGGAGATAAAACTATAAGAAAACTATTATAGTCGTCAAAATGACATTATAATGTCTTATGTAGAAATTGTCATCAGTTTTAACATTCCTGCTTCACCAACATGTATGTTGTTCAATGAACCATTAACGAAATTCCTTTGAGTTTACCTTAACAACTTTCTTCAAGTCACCAGCCAGTACGCTATGTTTAATGAGATAGCTTTTGCAGATTAGGTTAATTAAACTGTAACGTAAATGATAGATAAAACCTAATTATAAAGGATTTTTCACCATTAACATTTTAAATATATGATGGCAAAAGACTTTTTCGTCAAAATTTCAAACTTCCTAAGCACGATACAAAAGTATTTCTATCGAGTATTTTGCGATAAAAGTCATTCATTTTTAAAATTTGCCCAAAAAACCCAGAAATAGTTTTATTGATTCTGACTGATACACCAATATTACCATATCACTATCATTTATAAAAAGGTAGGACTTGGTATACATATTTTCTACTTTTATTGTTCTGTAATTGACTCACCTCTTCTGGATACATAAATTGGGTTTCCTGGGGTCGATTCAGATGGCCTCAGCTATGTATTGGATTCGTAGTCTAACTACTGTAAGTAGGTTGTTTGACACTTGATACGAAACACAGAAAGCTTCATCTATTTTAATCTGATTTTCACTATCTGTCAAGAGAGAAATAATGCTGTTAACAGATTTCGAAACTACTTTTCCCAACCACGCTGGTACATGTTCAGATTCACATGAGGGTACAGCCCCCTAAATACGGCCCATAAAACTAGCTCCACATAAGCAGTTGAATTGGTATACATACGTGGAGGAGCATATCATCGGTAACCCATCCTTCGTTTACTGTGTAAGTATTGGCTTAGTTAAAAAAATTAAATGTGGCGTGGCGGTGTGAAATGTCCTTTCAACAGATCTTTCGAGTCGACGTGTTAAATTGTCACCCGCTATGCTCCCCTAAAATCGAGCTTTAGACAAAGGGTTTTTTACGCTGTCCGAGTTTGTTCCTGGACAGCCATTATTTTTTCATGTGTTTTTTAGACTATCTATTTCTCTATGTAAAGTATCCACAGAATATAATAGTTTGATTCTGTAGCTGACATTTGACTAGATTTATTTTGTATTGAATTATTTATGTAACTGATGCAAAAGTTCACCATTTTTAACATTGTCAAATTCATTAGCGTAATGGTTTATTCTCGGCTTTGTAAAATATCACAATAAATATGGGTTTATAACTATAGAGCCCGATGATGAAGTTATTGGAAATAATTGTTCGCTCAAATATTTTTTGTTTTTGAATATTCTATGGAAATTTTTAGACTGCTAATATTTGTAGAATATTATGAACACACCACTTGATTCAATTCGTTTATCATCAAATATATTAATTCCAGTTTAATATGTTAGTCTTCAAATTTATAAAGTTAAATAATAATTGAAGTAATCGGATTCATTTCAATTGGTCACTTTGACTTTCATCACATCTATTTATTCACAAGGTGCCTCAGAAATTTCCTACCTCTGTAGGCAAATCTGAAGAAAATAAATGATATTTGGCAATTTGAATGCCAAAAGAACGTCCGGAATTGTCGATTGTCCTTCAAACTAAACTAGAGGGGGAAGTGCCGCGCAAAATAAATGTAATAAGTTGTGACCAAAAGAGCCTGATATATAATAGCTTCTGAATAGAAATCACTATGTCAAGTTATCAATGTGAGAAAGACAGTGAAAATAAAATGAGCAAGATTTTGCCTGATATGGCAGGTGTCGAATAAGCCCGAAAACTGAGTCGTAATTTCTGGTGACTGGTAAGTGACCCATAAATCATCTATACCACTTAGTCATTTGTGTATTTAAGTGGTGTTGAATCATGCCCAATTTTATGTCAAATGCCGAGCAAATTCAAATAATTACTCTGTACTACTTAAATCCGATAGACAGTAGTGTAGAAGGCAAACACAAATATAAAACTGTGATAGAATAGTTGTCATCTTATAAAGGACCAGTGAAACCAATAAAGCATTAGACAGCTGTTTCGTCTTGCTCAAAAGTAAGAATTTGAAACCTTTATATTTCATAACAAATCCCAACGACCATTGAGTCAAAACACAATAGACACCTTTGACATCAATCAGTTTTCTATCCAGAGTAATGAGCAGTCAATGCCATTATTAAACTCTATTAACAACTTTCTTCTAGTCACCAGCCAGTAGGCTATGTTTAATGAGATAGCTTTTGCAGATTAGGTAAATTAAAGACCATAGGTTAGTTGTGCACTAATTATTCTAGATAGAACAATCAAGACTTGATGAGATTTTTAACACTATTACTCGTAAATAAACAACAACTATAAGATTTACATCATGAAAATCGAACGACTTATTAACTGATTCATTAGTAAGATTAATAATTGAAAGCAATATCATTATTGTAAAGTTACAAATCTTTGATACTTCTCGATTTCTTATATGAATCCCCCTAGATATACACCTTTAAATTTGTACATTTAGAACTCAAACAACTAGGTAACTTCCTAGTGAACATATAAAAATATAATTTCGGAACTATACAACCTTTCTGTTCAATATAAGGATATACAAAACAGAGAGTTTGATATTAGGTTGACAGAAATAAATATAAAATAACATACATTAATAATATAATAAAAACTGACAAATTCAACAATTTTCTTAGAATTGTTTTTATTAAAAAAAAACAATCCTTTTTCAATAAAAATACGAGTATAAACGAAAAGGAATAACCAAATGAACTTGTTTGCTTTATTCATACAGACTAGTAGATAAGTTAGAATAAAATAATACAGATGAATAAGAAACAAAATTGACTAATAGCAAAACCCCTGATTATATTTTCAGAAAAAAAACGGAAAATTAAGAAGAACAATAAATTGATGGATAGATAGATAGATAGATAGATAGTCAGCAATTCATATTCCAATTTATTATCTAGATTGACCAAACATACTGTGAAGATGAGAAGCTAAAGCTGCGTCTAAATCCCATTGATTACGATGTAATACATCGATTGCTTTGGAACGAGTAATACCACGATCAACAAGTACTTGGATTTTTAACTTTTGTGATTCATCAAACTAAGAAAATAATAATGAAGTTGTATAAGTATCATGTTATAGGAATAATAAAATTGTGAACAAATCAATGTACTAAAAACATATAAAAGGAGAAAGAATTTTACAAAACTCGCACAGAAAACAATAATATCTAAGGGGAAGATATTTAGATTACAGATCAGGACAGATTATTGTTCAATGAATAAAAAACATAACAGTGAGTTTATTTCTTAAACTGCATCATCATATTTTTCAACGTTTACAATAATCTTATGATTTTTAGTACATATAATGAACTAAATATAAGCTAGTAATATTATCTAAGCAATAGTGATGATGAAAGACAGTAGTCAAAAAACTTTAAATATATCGGAATAGTATAGAAACATTAAGCTGTTGAATTATAACTAAGTAGTATGGGCATTTAGCTTACAACTAGTAAATAATAATAAGGTCAAAACTCCCTTTACTTACCACTGAGGTTTACCTAACCAATAGTAATAAAGGTTATAAAAACGTGTAACCATTATTTAATTAGATAGAAGTATTCTTCCAAGTTTTACACCCTTTTGTTTATATTTCTCAGAAGAGCGCAATTTCCAGGTTGTATTGACGTTACAACGAATATCTTTATTCTTACTTAGTTTTACCTACTATAAGCTGTACAAAGAAAGTTATGTCCATTCTAATTTCAAACTGTGTTGTTATCACACCCCTTAGAATATTTCAGATTTCCGTATATACCAGGAGAAGAGATTAGCGAGTAAAAGACTTTCGTTGAGGTTTATGGAAAAGAAAGGAAATGCAAAGATCTTGTGTGTGTGTATTTCAACAGAATGAATTTTTTATTACCGGTTAAAAATTATAATTGAGTCAAATATATTTGACAATCCAATGTCAGTTATCTTCTTGAAACTCAAGTTGTGTAGTTTATGATGATATGACGAGAATACGTCTGAAAAGGAAATAGGACATTCATGCTGACTAATATCTGACTTGCTTTTGATAGCGTTTAATCAGAGCATTGAGGCCATTTCCGACGTAGTGGCGTGACCATGAAAGTTAAATTCTTCGTTAAAAACTACAAAACTCACCAGGAAATGGATAAATAGAAGTGAGAATAATCTTATTACTTATTAGTAGGTTTATTTTTTCTTTATTGAAGCTTTTGTTGACAATTATAGCCACAATGATTTCTAATCTTTTCTATTCTAATTACTGTTCACCTAGAAGAGCTACTTTATTTCAATATTGATTCTCTCTCTGTATGTACTCTCCTTCAACTTTCCTTTTCAGTAAATAGTATTCCTCTTTTTAATACAACTCTGAGTACTTTTATTCTGTAGGTCGACTTAGCTAGTGCTTTCTCAGCTTGCTCCGTTTTGTTTTTTGTTAGATGGTTATCTACTATCATTTACTTTTCTTTATTCACTGGTCTTTTGAGGGCTTTTCCGTAGTGTGTAGAATAGCCAGTATTGTTTGTTTTATATCAAGATCATCTTACAAGACTTCGGCTACCGCTGCTTCAGTATATTCAATCGACTTAGAATTCGTTTCAAAGGATGCTTACTCTCAGTGGTTAATATGGTCTTTTGATTCATTTTCTTTATATTGAATGGTATGATGTAAATGGAGCATGGTAGAAGGAAAACATTTTGGGTTTGAGATACTTTGCTTATATTCTTCGCAAGCATAGGTCAAATACTGGTTTTTCATCACTAACTATTCAGACATTATCATCAAATATAAAGAGAATGGAACAAAAGGCAGTAATAATCACTAGAACTAAACATTCCTTGAAACTAAAGTCTCTGTCTTCTAACCCTATTATTGCTGAGTTTAGACCAATTTAAAAAGTAGTAAAAAAGCTTAACTCAGTAGAACAATGAAGCACTACTCACTCTCTCATCTGTGTCTTCATTGTCCAGAATAGATGGATTTGATAAGGACAATGGAATTTCAGATTCTGGTAGAAAAGGCGCTTCAATACGTCCATCAATGATTAAAACATTACGCTTAAGATCAATGCAACATTGATGGCGTTTGAGCATGTCTAAACCAATGAGCAGATCCATAGATTGATCTTTTAGTACAATGAAAGACGTCTAGAATAAGATAAATTTGAAAACTATACATTGAATAAAAAAATATTGATTATGTAAGTTGTAAAATAACGCAAAAGTAAACAGATGATAAGTATCAGACATTTTAAGTAGCGTGTAATTTAAACAACTAATGAGAGTGGATTTTTAATCAACGAATTACAAACTATGTTTAACAAAATATTTTTGAAAAACATTTACAGGAACACTTAGTGAACTGGAAGGAATAGTCACTTTCTTTCATTTTTTTATTAATAAAAGTGATACATAATCGTTGTATAATACATCTCCTAACATGATTCCAGTAATGTTATTTTCTTCTGTTTATTTATGTAGTACTCCACTACAATAATAAAGTCGAATGAAATCAGAACAAGAATTGAATAGAAACAATGTATACTCCAAGAAACCTGAACAGAAAAGGAAGCAATGATAAAAATACGAGAATTTATATATAATTTACAAGAAAAACTTCTAATATCTTCTTGACACACCCACCAGCATTGATTGCTCGAAAAACGAAATAATTAGTATATATTCGGTATTTAGTATGCAAGATTTTCATTTATGAACAGCCGATAAGAAATTATTTATGATAGAATAAACTGGAAATAATATCTCATTGCCTCCATGTGATGATAATAATAATAGAGCTAACGTTACTCAGTTATCAAAGCCAAGCTTATTATTTGAGATATACCATTTATATGAAGGCTAGTGAGATTAACTGGTTACTTAAAACAAAGTATGTATAATGAAAGTTCAATTTTGTGTTAGATATGCTTTAGATTGTAACACGTCATTCAGAAAATTTGGATAAATATATTATAAATGAACTCAAATCACGACGTAGTTGACAAAAGTATTTACTAAAACTCAATATAGTGCGCCAGATGTCAAGCCACTTAGACTAATAGCTATATCACAACTTGATAAACAGAATTCGATTAGTACTGAAAGACCAGATAAACATGACACTGGTCACTTCCAAGTGCCCTACTAATTGTAAATGTTGTTTTTAATTTGATGTTAGGAATTTTGTATTACATTTCAGTATAAATATGACAACTCTGATTAAGATTTAGAAAGGTTCTAGGAATGATGATAGATCATCCACCAAATAGTATTCATCTCAATCAAAAGCACCTTAGAGTTACATTATTTAATCTTGCTAAACACATTCACTTAGACTCTATCTTTTCTGTTATTTAACTCTTATTGATTAATTTCATTTCATATTTACATAGTAGATTTGAGGACCTAAAACTTCTGCAAAAGAACTTTTTTTGCATTCATTTAGAAATTAGTGTTCCCCAAGACTGGTCACATTTCCCTCTTTGTCACTAACAAACACATCAGTTTAAAAATTGACTATACAGAGCTTGAACAATAAAACTGCCAAAAACAGATATTTTCAGCGAATCCATCATGTTTCCTAACTTAAAAATTGTTTCTCATTTGTCTCGAAGAGAAACGAAGAAGTAGTAAGGATCAAATCATATATAATTTATTTAAAACCCCAGACGTCACGTGAGATGCATAGATGAAAATCACTTGCAATTAGGCATACTGCATCATATATACATACCTAAAATGAAGTACATCAAACAAACTAAAAAAATTGTCTAAGTGCTTTCCGAAACAATTCTAATCTGATAATTTCACTGCCTTATTACAATCATATAGCGAAAAACATCAAGTGCAAAGTGGCAATAATTATTTCAATGCATTTAATAGTTTAATAGTGTATTACACTAATAATTGAAAGATTATTTGATATAAATTAATCTAGCTCTTTAAGTTCTATCTAATCAACAAAATAGTCAAACGTTTCGCATGACTAACTTTGAATGTTTGGTGCATTTCTTTTTAACTTCAATAGACATATTAACCCCCTGTAAAATCATTGTTGAGTAAGATATTAGTGTCATCCATTCAAAAAAATGTAAGCTAATGATTAAAATAAATGTTTTCGTAAATAACTGGTAACAAATTCATTTTCTACGATACACTCTCTGCTGAAAGCTAAATTAACATCGATTATTCACCACAGATGGTTAACATGAAACTTCAGAGACAGATTATTAGAATAAGTTTCAAATCTATTTATGATGAAATGCAACATCTAAAACAATATTCTAAAAGACAAGTTGACCACAACTGATTTAAAATGAGGAATCTAATCAATTCAACTAACCGGAATGAATATACCTCCAATTTCTATTAATCCATTATGAACTCGACCTATTATAGTTTGTGTTCCAACACCATAAGCTTTCCCAGCCCATCTTTTATCAATTAATGAATCTAAATTACAACGTCGTGCACAATCCTCACTCATAATTGTACTCTGTGCTCCAGAATCAACAAATGCTTTAATATTTTGATCTTTAATTTTACAATTGATAAATAACATTGAAACTTGGCCAAATGTTTCCGGATAATATTCCAGAGCACTTTCCATTTGCATGTCAATATTATTTTGTCTATCAAAATGTAAAATAAAGACACATAATTCTCAAAAGTTTGAGTCAACATACTTTAAAGTGGCATAGTGGATATAAAATGATGGATAGAAAATGGTGACAATAATGGTAAAGACTTAAAAAGGTGGAATCAGAGACAAAACAAAGAAATCTGTGTAAATATGTAGTAATAAAGGTAGCTACTATTAGCAGAATGTATCTGATATACTCTAATTCATTTTCAGTCGTATCAATCATCAAACTCTCTACTACGTTAATCCCGATCCCAAAGCCCACACTCGGAGATACGATTGATGATTTTATTAAATAATCCCATGTTTTTTCCAACCACTAAGGCTTCGTTAATCTCACTCCCAATTCAGTGAATATCAACGTTTTTGAAGCCGGTGAATCCTTAATATGCAAAAGTTGACGCCTAATTACAACCGATCTATATCCTTTACTTAAAACAATTGCCATTTATTCTAAGAAAAAAGCATGGTACTGTTTAGTACCAGGAAATGAACCATACAACACAAAATTACAATATCAAGAAATTAAAAGAACACAATAACAACAAGAATAATAGTTATAAGGGATAGAGCTGAAATAAAATTCAATCAAAATGAGTTCATCTTAGTACTTATCAGATGAATAAAAATAAACTATAGCAGGATCCCCAATGACTTCAGATTTAAACCACTTTAGGCGTCTCAAGCCACTAAGACGATTGATTGCTGTGACTCCAAGAACTAACATGTGCCATTCCAGGACGGTTATGCCACATTTCCCAAAGTTGCATCACAAACAGATGGCTTTTTCAACTGGTTTCCGTAGACAGTTATTGATCTCGACTTTGCTCAAACATGAGTTGCCGAACCACAGTATACATCAAATTGTATTACCACTAAATGCAAAGAACAGTCAAATATCCTCGACTGGAGATCATACTACAATTGTGGTACGACTGTTGGGACTAAAGACTTCTCTACACCACGCGATAACTATACTAAGTGTGACCGATATTGGCACATGCCGCTCTGACATTTACTACGTAAGGCTTAACATAACTACCACAACACCCGCACAGCTAACCAGAACCATGACTCTCTCCATTATTTTCAAATGGTTTGAGACAAAACAGATAACATCAACATATAGACTGCCACATATATGCATTGGCCCAAGCTGCCATACCTGATTGGCACGATGAGATGAAAATGAAAATCAAGACTGAAATGTAGTGGTTATCACAAAAGGAAAGACAAACTTGGGAATATGACGCAAGGTGGATGTTTGTACAGGCTTCTGACACCCTTACAAAGGCAGTTTACGATAGTCGCGTAGACCCCAACCAAGTAGTCTGCATCTACCAACATGACTTAGACTAGAAGTTGGTGACTTCAAGTACTGATGCCACGTTTTGGTTTGGCCGCCCCTAACTTTTTTCCAACCATCCCCAACACTAGTCAGCATTTCGCATCGTGGTAATCGGTGTTCAGGCATACGCAACACGTGGCCCAACCATCTCAGTCGGTGAAGATTCACAACCTCATCAACTGATTTACCATCATTCCCTAATACTCTACGTCTAATCTCATTACTACTTACCCGGTGGTTCCAGCAGATGCGAGCAATATTTCTAAGGCATCTGTGGTCAAATACTAGTAGCTTACGAATATCTCCTACTCTTAATGGCCATGTTTCGCAGCCGTAAAGTAAAACAGACACCAACCTATTAGGGCTGATCAGAATTCCAAGATAAGTGAAGTTGTCGACGCGTCCGACTATTTCACTCCTCATCCTTAGTTCAGTTGTTGACGCATACCAGTCCTGAAGCAACAACTTGCATTTAGAGGGAGAGAAGCGCATTCCAAACATTCTGGCATTGTTGCTCAGTGCTACCAAAAGACTCTGAATTTTGTCAGCGTCTTCACCAAACAGGACTATGTCATCTGTGTATTCTAAGTCGATAAGTGGACCTCCTGGATGGAGATCAATACCCGAGAACTCAGTCGACGAGAATGTTATTTCCATCAGTAGATCTATGATGAAGTTAAACAAAAATGGGGAAAGTGGACAGCCTTGACGGACACCACTTGAGGTTGCAAAAGTAGATGATAGTTCGCCATAAGCCCTGACTCGACTAGTAGTGTTCGAGTAAAGAGCCTTTACAAGGTTTATGTACTTCTGAGGTACACCTTTCAATGACAGACACTGCCACAGAATCTCGCGGTCTACAGAGTCAAATGCTGCTTTTAAGTCGAGAAAGACCACCATTGTCGGACGCCGATAAGTATGCCTGTGTTCTAGAATCTGACGAATGGTGAATATGTGGTCGATGCAGCCACGACCAGATCTAAAGCCAGCTTGGTTCTCTCGTGTTTGCAGTTCACGAGTCTTAGTTAGGCGTCTGATAATTATCGAGGCTAGTATTTTAGATATTATATTAGTTAAACTAATCCCTCTGTGGTTGTCACAGGATGATTTTGACCCTTTCTTATATATTGGGACGATAAGTGATTGTGACCAGTTAGATGGAATAACGTCTAACTCCCAGATTTTAGCTAAAATATTAGTCAACCTAATCGCTAAAATTGGACCACCATCCTTAAAGACCTCTGGAGCCAATCCATCTGGACCAGCTGCCCTTCCTCGTTTCAGATTAACTATAGCCCTTTGAACTTCAGCAAGAGTTGGGGGACCTACTTCAATGTTCCATTCACATTGTCTGGGAATGGAGGGTAGTTGTAGAGTAGCTGAAGGCCAGCTGAACTGTTCTCTAAAATGTTCCGCCTATCGTTCTAAACGTCTGGACTGGGAGCAGATGAGAGTATCATCTTTTTCCGATATAATCTCACTTACACTTGACTTATTAATTCCAGTTTCTTTTATTAGTCTGTAAAGCTTTCTTGTGTTCCCTATAGTCGCCGCCTTTTCCATCTCTTTTGCTTTCGTTACCCACCACTGCTCACGGTCGTTCCTTAGACTTTTTCTTAATCTAGATCTGATTTGTTTTCGCTCTTCATCATGTTCAGAACCTGATGGGACGAGTTTGCGAGAATCCATCAGTGTGACAGACCTTGAAGAAATCCACTGGTTCCTTGCAACTCTGTGGTTTAAGTCACTAATAGATGTCACTGCTGTTTCCACAGCTGATTGTATTTCATTCCAAGCAACATCTGGGTCAGCCTCGTCTTCACAACTACCTAATCGTGACCTCAGTTGTTCCTGGAACCTACTTTTGGTTTCCTCGCTACTCAGTTCGGTTCTAATGGGTCTTTTTACTGTGGCTTTTTTGCGTCCAGTGAGGCGCAAGCAGATGCGTGCCCGTATGAGGGCGTGATCGGAGTCCAAGTAGGTACTCCAGAATGAGCGACAATCTTCTATCGACCCTCTCCAACGATGACTGATGGCAATATAGTCCATTTGAGTCCATCGTTGGTTTGGTGCAGGCGGTCGCCATGTTAGACGATGTCTCTCCTTATGCTTAAAATTTTTGTTTGCTAAAAATAAGCGATTGTCTGAGCACAGTTGCAGCAGACGGTCACCATTATCTGTTCGCTATGCCGGAATGCTAAAATGTCCACCTAAATGCCTTTCTGTTTGGTTTAAGCTACCTATCTGAGCATTAAAGGGACGTGAAAAGGGTTAGTCGTGGAGATAAAAGAGGTATTAGGTGTAGGGAGGATTCGAATGTGACCAACTTGGTTTCGTGTGCTGTTACGGGTATGAGGGCTGATGTCACTTCCCGGCTGCCCACACCGTGGAAGGGTATTTCTTGAGGAACCTGAAAAGGAAGTTGGATTAATGTTGGCCTTACCGACCTGGGAGTGTGACTGCAGTGCCCATGGGACAACTGCTTGAGGCCGGTCGCACACGGCCTTTTCGTGGGAGGTTTTTGACGTGTTAGCTCCGTTCTTCAAAGGGCCTTACCGCCGGAGACGGAAATCCGTGAGGTAAGGTGAGGTGTGCATTTTTAGGGTCGACCTTTTCTAACCCCACCCCTCCTTGTGGGAAGGCAGCATCGCTGTCATGCTGGTTGTCTGAAGGAAACACCTTACTGCTGTCACACCTCTGTACAGTCAGCAGTACGACTTCGCCTTCGGACCTTGGGTTTGTTGCTTTTAGTCTTACCGCTCTTCAACCGACCTGTCTGACATGGTAGGACCTTGAGGAACGGTTGTTCCAGCCAGTATAGCTCGGTTGCTTCATCATGATAGGCAAGCCCGACCACCACGTCAAGGTAGCAACAACGGTAAGCCTTTCAATGAAAGACACTGCCACAGAATCTCGCGGTGTACCGAGTCAAATGCTGCTTTGAAGTCAAGAAAGACCATCACTGTCGAACGCCGATAATCATATCGTTGCTTTAAAATCCGACAAATGGTGAATATGTGGTCGATATAGACACGGTCAAGTCTGAAGTCAGTCTGGTTTTCTTGTATTCGCAGTTCACAAGCCTTTACTAGGCACCCGACAATTATAATAATTATAGTAATCATTATGATATTTATAATAATGAGGCAAAGTGTGAATTTCTAGGGCCGACCTTTGCGGGAGGCAGCATCGCTGTCATACTGGCTGTCTAAGAGAAACATCTCACTTCCGTCACACCTCTGTACAGTCAGCGATACAACTTCGCCCTCAGACCTTGGGTTTGCTGCCTTTAGTCTTACCGCTCTTTAACCGACCTGCCTGTCATGGCAGAACCTTGAAGAACGATTGTTTCAGCCAGTATTGTAATGACCAAGAACGCAGATGGGGACAACCGAATATATGCTGACATAAACTTACAAAGTATCTTGGTAAAATGAGAAAACTATGCGTTCAATACTTCATTTTCCAACCCTCCATTAAGTATTTCAAACTTCATCGTTCCTTTATTGCTATAACAATTACTGTCTGTTCCCGTTCCCTTCGATTCGATCTTCTCAACCTTCTGCTACCAGGCATTCCGCTTCTGGTTGGCGTTACATAATACTTATGTCGACATAAGTAGCATACACCACAGCATAACCTGGTAGGTTCATCACAATAGCCAAGTCCGTCAACGTAGCAGCAACGGTCGGGGAGCCATTGCTATCGCTCAGATAAACCTGATGACTAACACATTTGAAAACTCAACTATTCATAACTACGGTAAACACAGATATGAATCAGTCATTAGGCATAGGTTTTTTTGGAAACTTAAAAAAGTATCAGAAATACTTACTAGTTTAGGTCAATATTTCTAGAAAATACTTTGACGTTTTCAAATTTAGAAACTTTAATTAAAGCTACTAATGATATTACTATATGTAGAGCTTCTACTCTGAAGGTGAAATAAATGAACTCTGGAACGAAAATAAATCAGATAGCTTTTGAGATTTTGCAACAGTTATAATAAGGATCGTCACAAGCTCGTCGTCCCATTAAGATTATAGAGTGAAGTTTGATAGTATAAATAGCCCGAGAAAGATTGAGCAATTTGTAAAATATGTTTAAATGTACTAATTGGTAGTCGGTGGGTTTTAACACTATGTACCGTGTTATTTAACGTAATAATACAAGCCCTATTATCATACCAGATAGCTCGTAAAACAGTAACAAAGCCGTAGACATAAACAGAAGCAATAGGTTTCAAAAAAGAGAAACAATCCCCACTGACTTTATAAGCTCAGCTATTCTTTCTTGAACTGCTGGATTTAGAGCATCTGCAGACAACAAGTTTTCAAGCTCCTCCCGATGCTGACGAGCAGTACTCTGTTGTGATTCAAAAACCCTTCTAAAGGCAACTAATGTAAAATAGTTAAAATGAATATAAATTATTATCGATTGGAAGCAATATATAAAATAAATAAACATTCGACAAAATGCTCTCACATTACCAATAGAACAATTTCGTGCAAGTAGATTTCAGTACAACAGTGAAATTAACCAAAACAGTCAAACTATTTAATTCATTAGAATAAGAAAATGTTTGGTGTATAAAAGCGTTCATATTCGCAATTTCGGAACATCATTTTAAAATTCAGAGTCCCCAAGAAATGGCAGTTAATGTAGCTTAATGAGCAAATACGAGCCCAATTACTGAGTTTGTAGTTACACTTTTGGTTTGAGAACAAACAATACTACCAGAATTTCTAAAATAATAGCTGAAAATTGAGTACCTGAACTCCTAAACTATAGCCCAAATAGAAACTGAACTTTTTACATACATGAACTTTCTTATTAACTGAGAGTAATAGATCTGAGTTGACAGTACACGGAAAGACGAATATCATACATATTACTGGCTATGATGCTGTTAGTTTAGTTTTATTGGCCATTTGCATCTTTTTGTCCCCATGAACTCTTTTTTTCCCAGTTGTTGTTATTATTCATTTGATTATTTTATTTCCTTCATATCGAGTATTGGTACCTTAAATGATACATTTCTATGCTGAATTTTAAAACACGTTTATTTGTATGGTCTGTGACTATCAGTTGTAAATAAGCAATGGAGTGACCAAAGAGAAGCTTGATGGATATAAATGTCTAAAGTGCAGTTAATATGCATGAAAACCTGGCTTCCATCATTTAAATGAGGAAGAATTCCGCAAATAAACTAAAGTGAACGTATAGGTGAATATGACATTGATATAGATATAATGAGTGATAGCGACCAGTGCCACCTAATTCCGTTTTAATTCAACGAAGTCAACTTTTTTGAAGTGATCAAGAGGGTTGATACGAGGAAGGTTATCGAAATTCATTGAATATCACACAAACCGTGAATTATGATAGTTGTCCTAATGCCTTGGATCTTCGTCCACCAAGTCCAAAGTTCGAACCCCACTCCACTTATTTTAGTTTGGGAAACCGAATGGAATTTTCGCCACTCACACTTCGAGTGTGGCCCATATCTAAGTACCTGGTGAATGAGTTTAAAAAACCCTGCACCTTACTGAGATAGGAATACTAAGAGATAAGGAGTGGTCAGTCAGAGACAAGAATTGTCATTTAATGGAGCTCATGAGACGGTAATAAGACAAAGTAGGATTTTAGAGATATAAATAATGAGTCCCGCATGACATTACGGTGTAAGAATTAAATCATATGGACCTCTTGAAAAGGTATGAACATAAGTAACAGGGAGATGTTACTTGATAATGCTTCTAGAGTATAAATTAGAAGACCAGCAAAAATAATTGAGAAAATCTAAAGTGATATTAAACCCTGCCCCCATAGACTCGTATGGATTTTATAAATCAAATATAAATTTAATTTCAGCTAATCTCCAGAAACCTAGTTAGACTTAACTAATCATTAAATGGCAGAAAACAGGGTATTTCAATTACGCCTAAAGTCCTGTCGAAAAGTAGACCTTTGGTATGCTTTTCGGTAGTAAGGTCTCTAAGACATATCCTTTCGATACCTAAGTAGATAATTTTACCCACAGTAAATAAATGTACTCGGTAGGTGAAGCGATGTAAATCCCTAAAATCTGAACCACAGTCAACTGGCGCATTACCATAGGGCATCTCAATGCATTTTTTAGCCCCTAAAGGAAATAGAAGCTGTGATGGTTTATTGTTTAAAGCAGCCCATTGAAAACCATCAAATTGAGAATTTACTTAAACAGTCAGGTAGCAATACTAGCTCCTACACATATTTACACACGAAGGGTGTGGTCCAATGCCTAATACATTGGGAAGTACCTTGTTAGTTAGTTTAAGCGTCTTAAGAAATACCGGCAAGTGATATAAATAAGCAGTCAGTATTTTCATTGCGACTAACGGAATGCCCCTGTTTAATGTAAATGACTTGGATGATCGGGAGTGTCTAGTGACAATAAAAAACTGCAGGTCTTAAGTTGCTTCATATTTTCAAATATCTGAAATATTTCAGATTTCGTTCCCAGATTACAATAGGTCCTCCTTTGATTATCGAATCCAAGAAACAATCTCACATTTTAAATAGGAAGTAAATTTACTAACAGGGGTCCAGTAAATGATAACTAAACTAGCAAAGGGACGGCGAGACTATGATTTATGGACGAACTGATCAGGTATAAGATAACAAGTCTTGGATTTTAGCGCGAAATTCATCCACTCACTAGATTAAATAGCATTTTGACATTTTAACTGTCAGCGATGGAAACTTTAAAACGATTCCTAACCTTAACCATCAAATGTATATCATAATTTTAATTCCTCATATTGGTTTATAAACCTCACTTAATCCTAGTTATTAATTGGACGCTGTCTAGGTCATCGTAGCGTTGCTTAAAGGTCGTCCATAAATTATAGTCTCACCGAAGGGACTGTTAGATTATCTTGTAACAAATATCCCAGTTGTCTTGACTCTTATCATTTAACTTTGGGCTGAGGAACTTAATATTGATATGCCGCATCATTGGTAACTACTTTGCGGTTAACACTGTTTTACTTATCCATCCTCTATTCAAGTATTCAATTAAGTAAAGATCATCCAAGGGTCTATAAACCAAGGTAAAAGTTCGACCTCACATCAGTTTATGGGTCAAAAAGACGATCTAAGTGATGACGTAGTAAAGTTAGCCGTTGAAACTTTCTAAATAAGGATGAACAGCTACATAAACATAATTCGTAAAGGTTAAATATAGTCTACCAAGCCCTACAATAGATACTAGTGAGTAAACGAACTCCTGGGAAAAGTACAACAGGATTTCGACCATTGTAACTATTAATATAAACGGCTCAAGTTGTGACAAGGGTAATTTTTCTGAGGTTCTGAAGAAAAAATTAATATTTCACCTGGGTCATTAATGACGGCAGCCAACTCTGGATTTCGTTCACCCAATATGGACAGCTGACGGGCAGCACCAGTTAGAAAATGCTTGCGAATAGCTTCAGGTATCCCAGAACCCGATGAACCTGGAACCTTGATTGACTTAAAATCTAACAAAGGAACTGTACGTGACTGTTAAGAATTAATATGGTCAAGTATATCAAAAACGGACTTACTGAACCATCACTCTTCGATTCATTTGTGTTGCGTCTTGGGATAGGAACGGCAAAAAGAAGATCCTCATCTTTGATTCCTGCCTTTTCGATATTGGTAGTTGACTGAACGCATAAAACCTGTCCTTCTCTTGATAGTTCAAAATCAACTCCAGATATGCCACTTTCAACCTCAATAAGCATTTTGAGTTCCGATATTAACGTGCTATTTGAAACCTCCAGCGGAAAAAAGGAATCTCCGGATAAGCAAACAGTTATCCTCATTACAGTTGTTGTTACGCTTAACTAGATTTGCCCGCCCATCAATTTCAATACTATATATGCAGATCAGTTTCCAAAGTTTTAGTCTTCAGTAATATAGATGGTAGATTGATGAACCCATGTTGATTCCTCTAGATTTTTTTCAAGCGAAGGTTCCCCTTCTTCTGAAAAATACCAACTGATGGGCTGATACCACTTTTTTTGGGTAAGACGATAAGAAAAACGAATCCTTACTGTAGGTTTATGAGATCGTTGTCTTTGAACTTGCTTGGTTAGCTCTGAAGAGAGCAGAAAGATAAAACACAGCGACACCTGAATCGTTATTCAAGATACGGAATGACAATATGAGGTTACTTAGAAACGTTAAGTGAAAAAGGTTTATGTGTTTTAAGCGTTCATCGTAGTGAAGTTTTGAGAGATCTCCCGCTTCTTTTGTTCCCGCACGCTGAAGACGCTCGACTGACAGTATTCTTAATGAAGACAGGCTGCTTAGACAGTACTTCAGGCGTGGTTTTACATAGATGGGATGTGAAACATCCCGTCAAAACGTCTGAATGCTTGATTGAACATACCGCTTGAAAACCTTTGACGGATGCTAGGTTGAAATGATCAGTTGTTTTTAAGTCGTAACTTTCTGGTACCCTTAGGTCTCTGTGTTACTGCACTCATATAAGCTATGTGCCGTTGATAGTAAACCAGTAATTATTGTCATACTTGATGTTACCGTCATTAACATTCATGATGTAGCGTTAAATAAATCCCCAAAATAAATAGCTCTAAGTTTTCGACATTGGATGCTGACCATATGTTTTAGTGGACTCATCTAGCTGAAGGCGCTCGGTCATGCATCCGCATCAGATCACATGTGGTAACGCTGTGCTCAACATCTACCGCAATCGCTAGCCAGATTAGATCAGAGAATTCCGATATATTGGTCATCGCCAAATACACTCTCCCGATCTCCTCGACTCTGTCTTTTGATTTCTCTGGGTGGGAACGAAATATATTAGAAGGTATTACTGGTAAAAGCGTTGTCAAATACTAAATACCTGTGACATCATCAATGGATTAATAGAACACTGTTCTTACTGAAATTAGGCTCTAAACACTAACCACTTGGCTGTAAAACCTGTTTTCTACGAGTATGTTATCCGTCCATATATTTTAACATTGAATGCTATGATCTCTGAATAGTTCTTGATATGTTGATGGAGGTTACTTACTTACGCCTGTTACCCCTCACAGATGAGCATAGGTCGCTCACTACGATTCTCCATACAATTCTGTCCTCGACAATCCTTTCCAGCTCCTTCCAGTTGTTATTCATCCTTTTCATATCTGCTTCTATTTTCCGACGTATTATGTTCTTTGGCCGTCCTCTTTTCCGCTTCCCTTCACCATTCCATGTTAGGGCTTGCCTCGTGATGCAGTTTTGACGATTTGCGTAATGTATGTCCTATCCATTTCCATCGTCTTTTGGTAATTTCCTCTTAAGCTTGGAGCTGGTTTGTTCTCTGGCAGAAGACTGCTGCTGATGAAATCCAGTCAACGGACATTTAGCATCTTGCGTAGACAACTGTTTAGAAATACTTGTGTATTCTTGATGATGTTTGTAGTAGTTCTCCAAGTTTCAGCTGCGTACAGTAGAACTGTCTTGACGTTCGTATTAAATATCCTGACTTTGATGTTGGTTGACAGTTATTTTGAGTTTCATATATTCTTCAGCCGTAAGAATGCTACACTTGCTTTGTCAATCCTCGTCTGCATCGGATTCTCCTCGTTCATAGATGACGCTACCCAAATGCAAGGTTTCCACCTCTTCCAGAGTTCCTCCACCAAGTGTGATTGGGTTGGTGTTCACCGTGTTGTATTCTAGGATCTTGCTTTTGCCCTTGGTTATCTTGAGGCCTACTGATGCAGAGACCGCTGCTACATTAGTTGCATTTGTTGGTGTGTATAAAATAGGAGGGCTAGGTCATCTAGATGAATGCAAGCTGTCCATCGTATTCCGTGCTTCCCTTCAGATATGGAGGTTTTCACAATCCAGCCAACCACCAGAAGAAAAATAAAGGGTGAAAGTGAGCAGTTTTGTCTGACTCCGGTCATTACTTGGAGCACATCTGTCAGCTATCCTCCATGCGTCACTTTGCAGTGTAGTCCGTTGTATGTAGTCCGCATGGTGTTGATGGTTTTCTCAGGCACACTATAGTGTCGAAGTAGTTTCCATAATGTTTATCTATCCACACTGTTAAATACTTACTCATAGTCAAGGAAATTGATTTATGGTGACGAGTTTTATTCAATTGATTATTCAACGATGATCCGTAGTGTATCTGTTTGGTCTGTGCACGACCGATCCTTACGGAATCCAGCCTGTTGATCTCGAAGGTGAACGTCCACTGAGTCTTTTATCCGGTTCAGCAACACGCTGTTGAAAATTTTTCCTTGTACTGACAGTACTGTGATGTGTCTATGGTTTTCGCATTTGCTCAAATCTCTTTTCTCAGGTTTTTTAGTGAGTCCGTAGAATTATGGTCAAAGTTCGTTATTAGTATTGCTCTAATAATATACAGTCATAAAATGGCAGATTTGTCATGATGTGAATACCTAATCCATAAGATCTTGCGTGGAAGTTACATCATTTTCTACACTGACTCGTCCAACTGTATGAATCACTGATATGATGTTACCTACTTTCGGAGAACACGTTTGTGCTGGAGGCTGAACAATATATTTAATATGAATAAAAGAGATAATTTACACAATAATGATCACACCTGCAAGTCTGAGACATGTCATTCGACTGGATCCTGAATGGATGTTCCCGCGTTCACGTTTACTGACCTTTCAATGTTACATGTTGAAAGTTTACTTCCCCAGTTATTTCATGTTCAGCCTTGAGAATTGTGGTGAGCACCAATGCCATTATAAGGCATCCCTCTTTCCAATCTGTCGGCATTTGTTCTTCCTCCCAAATCTTCCTGAATAGCACGTGGAGTATGTTTGCAGTTGCTTTTATGGGTGACTTCAATGCTTCGGCTGGTATATTGTCAGGACCTGCTGCTTTCCCACTCTTGATTTGTCTGATGACCATGCAGATTTCTTTAATCGTTGGTGGAGTGACATCTGTAAGAAGGACAATAGGTGCTGCTTCAATGTCCAGTGGATTCAGTGGGGCTGACATGTTCAAGAGTTTCTCAAAGTGTTCTACCCACCTCTTCCTCTGCTCTTGAATCTCAGTGGTTGGTTCGTCCTCCTTGTCATTGACCTATCTCTCTGATTTACTATATTTTCCTACTAGTTTCTTCATTGTGTCACATCGTTGTCTCTTACTTCCTTCTGTTGCAGCTTTTTCCGCTGCCATTGATAGGTCTTCCACGAATTTCTGCCTGTCGGTTCTAATGATCCTCTTCACTTGTTTGTTCCTGTGAACTTGTAGAATTATGGTCTACTTCGATATTGGTACTGCTCTAATACTAGACCTAATTTTAAAATTGTACAACTGTCATGATATAACTGCCTAATTTATAATATCTTGAGTGGACGTCACATCATTGTCTACGCTGACTCATCGTTTTATGACAATTACCAAGACGTGGTGAGAACACATTCAGACTGGAGATAGAACAATATATTAATTATGACTAAAAATAAGTTGTGCAGACAGACTACACCTACGAGGTTGAGCCATACCATCCGATCAATTCGAATTCATTCACTTCCCTCTTCCCACCTTCTCCATCGTTGGGTTTTTCTCTGCGTTAAATGTTAAATATCTATTTTCCCAGTTGCCTCGTGTTCAGCTTTGGGGATTGTGTGATTAGGGTCCAGTGCCACTACACTAGTCTCCCACTAGAGTCAACGTGATATTGGTTCGATACAATACTGGATGGGATAGTGGCGCGCCGGAGGTTAGCAAGAATAATAAGAATCCCTCGGGTATTGATAAGCTGAAAGATAAATCAAAATGAAGGTGGCAGCATCTGGTCTGGAAATACATGAAATAACTTTAAAATGTCTGTTTTAATACATAACACGCTTAAAATAAAAGACCACATGAACATTATTTATACGTTAAGTATGGCGGGATTATTACAATGAAGAACAATTTAGTATAGAGATATTTTAACAAGTCAAATTAAAATAACAACATGTTGTTAATGACTCAAGTTTTAGGCCGTATAAGTAATTTTAAAGTGTTTGGCTTTATTATTAACACGCAAGAAAATGGAAGTCTATGTAAAGATTGTATAGGAGTTTAACAAAGTGGGACTATAAAAATTAAGAATGATTTCGTGTATAGATATTTCAATAAATCGCCGTAAGATGCGTAGTAATAGCCGTAGGTTAATAAAATTCCGTGTTTAGAAATACTAAAACCGATTAATATTGTAGAAGTGCTAATATTGTTACTATTTTTGGTTTAATTTATGAAATCAAATAACGTTTATGCAGACAACCTGGCCATATGTGTTGATTTCCAATTGCACCTGTATTAGTAGGCTAACTGAAAGAACAAAAGTGTTACCGTGGGGGAGAATTCCAACTAGTGTCCCAGTTAGTCTGATACAGTTTATTTAGTTACGGGGTGATTTTCATGGCTTAATTTTTACTTGACCGTGATAGAATTTAGCAATACTACTAACACATATGAATGGCTATCAGAAAGTTTTTTAATATGTAAAAAGTGATAATTATGTGAATTTTGGTCAGATTGCTTAGAGCAATTCGTTAAACATGAGTGTATTCGTAAGACACATGTTCTAGTCTCAATGTTCTGATTTGCCATAGACTATTTATTTATATTCATATCTATTGGCTGATGTTGCATAGAAGTTAGTCGCAAGTATGCAGGTTATCATAAGGCGGAATACGATTTCACTGAGATATAATGACTATAAGTTGTTGAAATCGACTGAAACTTTGTACCGCAATTATAGGTGATGTGGTGCTGCAAAATGTCGTCGGCTAAACAAGTCTTAACAAGATGATTAACTGTGAGT